CATAATTTAGTGAATAAATTGAAAACGGCCTAAAAACACCCAAAATCGTACAAAACCATGGGTGAGTATATGAAGTTATGAGTCCCTGGGGAAACGTCGAACTAACCATGAGTTTAATTTAGTCGAACCTATTACACTTTTGAAATAGGCACAAGCTTCATGCCTTCATGCCTTCATGCCTTCATGGCTTCATGCCACGAAATGAGACTCTTGAGTCTTGTAGTTTTTGTTTTGACAAAACGAAATATGTTTGCATGGTTTGTGAGATGCCGACCTACAATAAATGTGCTGTATTCGAAAGCAACGATAATGAGCCAGGCTGGACAGCGGGCAAAAGCAATGCGTATTGGGAATGCTGCGAGACAAACAAGCAAACAAACAAACGGAAAAAAAAAAAAAACGAAAAAAAAAAAGAAAAAAAAAAAAAAAAAAAAAGAAAAGAAAAACAGGCTATAAGTGCAGAGTGCAATGCCATTCTCCGTTGTCTGTTTTGTAGTACTGCATCCCATATAAATAAATGCCCATTATAATAGTGGACGAGCGCTATATTTCGCCATCGCAAGGATATGCATTAATCAGGAAAAGACAAACAAATGTCCGTGCGTTCCCCCTTGCATTTTCATGTCCAATTAAAAATTATAATAACAATGGGGGAGTGAAATAAGATCAACATTGGTTCGACGTTTGCCGCCACGTAACCCCTTTAGTCGGCCTTCCACCGAATGTTAAATAGGTTCGGTGCGACGTTAGTCCGACGTTTGCCATGGGCCAAAGAAGTTAACACAATATTTTCTTAAAATCGAAAACAAAATGGCCGTCTACCGCATGACTCACACTAGCACAAGTGCGCATGCGTACATGATTTCATTTCCAAGTCTGATGCATTAACATCTTAACAGTTGGTATACCTTACAAGCAAAAACGAAATCCATGTGATTCGTTGCAAATGAATTAAAATCATTATTTACATATTTTACATTGTAACGTTTTAAGTCATCCAACCTTGACTCAACAAAAACAAAGTAGTCTTAGTCCAATGTTTTCCCATTTCAGACCATGCGCGTTTTTATTCCCTRGAGTATCATTTTGTTTGTTTAACAGTTGTGCATGAGAAGACACATGAATATGGATACAACTCAAACAAATAATAGTATTCTCAAGAAGATGACACGTGGTCTGAAATGAGCAAAACATTCCGCCAAAGTGGTGTAGGTCCCTATTTCTTGTTCCACGTGAGCGGAAACTGAGGTCTAAAAATTCTACTTCTAATTCTATGTTAATCAATGTCTATACATGACTGGGAACAATTTGAAGGCCGTTTGAGGAAATTCTAATGGTTCCTGACAAAAAAGTCTTCCTTTTCAGAAAGGCCCAATTTTGGTTTTACTGTTGAGAGTCTTGAGAGGCAACTGATAACTTTCTTTTAGAGGATATTAGAACTAGATTATCCAATTGACTAATGGTGTACTGCGTGCACACCTAAAGGGCGATTTAGACGGTACGATTTTCGCCTACAACTATTATTGTACACAACACACTCGCGCCATCCTACAACTCGAGTCGTAGCGTGTAAATTAAGCCTACAACTCGCCTACGACAGACGCGAGCGTGTTGTATACGATAGTTGTAGGCGAAAATCGTACCGTCTAAACCGGCCTTAAGAGCCCATGAAATACGACTACATACAAGGAGCCCTAATTCATGTTGTAAAAAATAATATACTTTTACGTAATAATATACTTTTCATTTGTCTATACTTTTCTTTACGATATCATCGATATTTTATCGGTTCTGTGAAATAACTTCTTATCTTTTTTAATTGAAGTGAGAGCATGGCTAATTCCTCACACATCAAACCTCTTTCAAGGAACGGATAAATCACATGTATTGGGCTCCCTGCTGCAGTGACAATGGAAAGCATTAATATTCCAATCATATATTTTAACTATATACATTATCAATACACTTGATTGGCAAATATTCTTGTGTGGTGATGGATCGGCTCTTTCACAGCCTAGTAGCACACCCATGTAGCAAATCGATCTAGAGTACAATTCGGAACTGATAGGTAAGAGTGATGCAATTTTGGACGAGCCTTTGGGTGAGTCCAACTTTTAAAACATCACGAGTATCTATAAATTTCGATTTTTTGCTTATAATACACTGAACAAAATTGAGCAACTTTATTGGACTCTCTAGAGTACACTTAACGATTTAATTGTTCTCCTCTTGTCCAATCAGAATCGAGTAATTTTGTTGAGTGTATTTTAATAACTTCTATCGATTTTCAAAAACTTATAAATATTATAAATTTATAGGTCTTGGATCCAATGGGAGCGACCATACGGAACGTACATAGACTTTTATTAGCCATTTTGAGGTTGAGGGAAAACTGGGTAGAGTTTGTATTGCAGTGTAATTTGGGGCTGTTTGAGGGGGCATATTTTCAAGATGGCGTCCAAAACAGCCGGTCCAAAATGCACTGCATAGCCAACTTTTGAACAATAATCGATAAATGTATCGTTAGCTGACAAGGAAGTCCTTAACGTTCAGCTGATTGACGGAAGGTATAAACGGTTATTACCTTTTCTGATGGTCCCTCGGTGATAGAGCCGAACCTCTTAGAACTAGCTATTCATTGTGTCCTTTATTTCTGCATCCTCTGTATATCAATCGGTGAGGTCAGCGGTTCTTAATATTACATTCGTTTTTATGTAAATCCATGCACTCTAACCGCTTTGAAAATCCCTCTGCGTCTCTCATGATTGTTTTGCAGTCGAACTGGAGACGTTCTAAGTTTAATTTGAGGATAAGCCAGGATTAGAATGTTGCTAGTTCAGCTTCACATACTGTTTGAGAGGTTCTGTTTTTACTCTGTTTCCTCGAGAAACCATTCCTCGTATGTCAGAATGTGTTACTAGGCTTAGCAGGACTTGCTCTGTTGCGTCGACTCAGATATAAATACAGGCAAGGGTTGATAGCGCAGTTTGCATGAGCCAGCCATATACAGGTCAGCGGTATATAGATGGAAGTGCAAAGGAAGACATCGGCATTGAAGGCGGCAAGAAAATGCATGACGTGGACAGGAAACCAGCAAAATGCGAAGACAAAAACGATTGTCATTAACTTCTTAACAGAGTTCCTTCTTTGCAAATGAATCTTTCTTTCAATACTGTCACTAGCGTAACCAGGGGCCTTGCGTCGCCATAGATACCGTATGATGAGTCCATAGAGAATCGCCATGGCAGAAAGAGGAAATCCATAATTAAGAACGAACTTAACAATGGTGTCAATCTCAATTGCCTTGTTCCCCCACATGCGACGATCCTGAAGACAAACTATATGTCCTGACATTTCTAGAACTCGGAACCTGTAATAATCACTCGAGAAAATCATCCCAGAAATCACCCAGATCATGAGAATGGAAAACTTGACAGTGCGTCGAGATAAGGAGCGCTTAGATCTGTGAGCGATAGCGAAGTACCGATCGACCGCTATAGCCACAAGGGTGAACCCCGAGGCGGCGATAGAAATGTTTGTGCCGAAGTTAATTGTCTTACAAGTAAGCTCGCCTAGAACTCCAGGGAACCATTTGATTCCCATGTAGAAGTAAGCAATATTTGAAGGGATCCCAACCATCGCGTCCAGGATATCAGCAACCGCCATGTTGACTATCAGTCTATCGAATGATCGACTCAGCTTCTTCCTCGAAGCAGCGTAATGTATCACCATGATGTTGGCAATCAAAGACACAATGATGACGGCAGAGTAAGCAATCGTTAACAGGATCACGAACGGATGACTCACTGCTTCGAATTGACACTTTGGGATGGCGACAGAAAGAGTAGGAATAATAATTGATAAGTTCTGGGTGGTATTTATGAATAGTGCCGTTTCCATAGTAACTGTTGCTATGGTGGTACTTATGAAAGTCGTGGTTGCCATAGTAACAGTTGGTATTGTGGGAATGTCGTTAGACTCTCTATTGCTCYACTTGTTCTTGAAATCTATAGCTCCTGTAAACTTTCTAAGCTTTTTGAAATTCTGTGAATATAATAATAGTAAGATTTAGTTGTCAAATATCATTGAAGAAAGAAAAGATGAAAAAGCTGATTATAATTGTAGACTTTATAAGCTAAGTGTTTTCTTTTTCAAATTCAATTTACCTGTGTATAATATGTGCTATATCAGAAACTGAAGAAATAGAAAACCCGCGCACATGCTGTGTGCAGTTATAAAGCACGCGGGGGTTGGCAGAGAACACGAGAGAAGTGTTAGGAGAAGCACGAAGCGCAGCGGAGTGCTTCTCGACACTTCTCGAGTGTTATGCAAATCCCCAAGTGCTTTATAACTGCACACAGCACAGCAAGCAAGTTTTTTTAATTTCTTTTATAAAATACGCATTACAACAACCGTTATTTTAGATGAGAATGACACTGAAAGTGCGCGCGCGTGCTGTGTGCTCTCATAAAGCACGCGCTTCCAACCAATCAGAACGGGAGATTAATAACAATTATTTTATAAAGTACAATAAAAATGTTATAATATTGTAAAATTCAATATTAAAACAATTTAAAGCATGTACACATAAAATAGAATTATAAGAAATAATATCTATAAGAATATAAAAATGAGAATATTAGTATTTTTGAATAATTACATGAATAACTTTACTATTAATTTAAAATAATCAAATTAGATATTTCTAAAATAAATGTATTGGTAATAAGGTTACTCTAATAAATAAATCACCAAAAATTAGAAGAAAAAAATTAAAAAGAATCGGTTTTGTTACTCTTTTTGAATACTGATTCAATGATTTTTTTAAAAATTTTCAAAAATATAAACTAGTTGACATTGACTAATTAACTACAAAAGGCACTGCTTTGACGAATAAATGCGGAATGATCTTTAAACCTTTAACATCTTTGACTTTTTTTTCTTTTAGAAAGGTTTACTTTGTTCGACGAGTTTTTATCGCTATGTTAGACAATTACAAATAAAGCCATGTTCTTAACGCTGACCAAAAACAACGCGGGCTCGACGAAATATTTTTTGACTTGATCTTGAGCTTGCTCAATCGTGGAAAACTTTTTTTTTCTATTATGAATCAATACGATTAGCAAGATTGTGTTTATTTATATCTAGATATTGTTGRAATTGCTTCCCGGGAAGAAACAGTAAAATGTTATGAATCCAAACTGATGGAAAAATCCATTATTTTTTAAAGAAAAAGTCTCTTAAATCTCTTGTTGTGTTTCTAAGTTCCGCTATTGAGTCTACGGGAATTGAAGAGTCGTTTGAAGTAAGTGTTGCCGTTGGGGAGTTTAGAGTTGAAGAGCGTAGTATTTTTTCGTTTTACAGCCAAAATTAAGAGTCGTTTTTTGTTAGTACAAATTAATAAAAATAAAATATAAAGTAACTGAAATAAATAATTARACTTGTTATTTGAAGATGGAAAGCTTTCAAAAAATCAAAGTACAATGTCTGCAGTAGAGAGTAAGACAGACCAAGAGGAGGATTCAATAGTTTCCCAGAATGCATTGCGAGTGCGATATAACATTTCTTAAATTTTAAACAGCTAAAACAAATATTTCGAAACTGAAAAATCAATTGTACCGCTTAATTTTAAATGTGTGTCATACCTCTTAGCGATACATATTTCTAATTTTCTCAAGAGATTTAGAGTTACTTGTCAAAATATTAATATTAGTCGTAATATTAGTGGTAGAAGTATCAGTTACAAAAAGATTCACATAAACCTGTGAAAGCAAAAGCCAAAAGAAAATAATAATAAGCGTGCATAAAGGCATTTGGGATACAAGTGAATCCTTCTCTGACTTAGCAGGGGCCGCGGAGAGGG